TAATAATTTTTAAAATTAATATTAGATAATATTTATAAATTTTAAAAATATTTTTAAATATTTAATAATTAAAAAAAGGAAGAGATAAGAGATAAGATAAATATATATAAGTGAAATAAAAAGAAAAAATATATGAGAAATTTTAAATTCTTACTTTTTTGGGAGAATTTGAAATTCTACTATTTTAACGAATTTTACAGATACTTGAATTTCAAATTCTTTATAAATTCTCCATCCAAACAACGTATTTCACCTCAAAGAATTTGAAATTCTTCAAATAAATGAATTACCCATCCAAACACACTATAAAACAATGGATTTATTCTCTAAATTTGCGAGGGATTTAATAGCAATTTGCAAGGGTCTTGTTCTCTAAATTTGTGAGGGTTTTGCAAGCAACGTAATCTCTTATTTGCAAGGGATTAATGAAAAAACTTTTCCTTCCCTAATTTGCGAAGGATTTGCGAGGGATATACTTATAATTCATTAGCGAACAATTTGCGACAACAAAACTCCTCGCTAGATATAAAATTCATTTTTTCTATTTTGGCTCATAATTTGGAGAGAGATTTGCAAGGCATTTGCGAGGGCCTAAGTTCCTCGCTAAATAAGTACTAACTTTAGCGAAGGATTTGCGAGGAGATAAAGGTTAAGAATTATTTACGGAAAAAAAAAATTATATTTTAGTAGCCTAGAACGGGCCGTTCCAAAATTCGAACGGGCCGTTCCAAACTACTAGAACAGCATATAAATCTTGCATCGAAACGGGCCGTTCCAAGACATGTTTTTATGAGAAAAATTTGAAACCAGAATGGGTCGTTCCGATTAAAGAACGGGCCGTTCCAGTACATGATTTTATAAGCAAAGTTGGAACCCAGAACGGTCCGTTCTGACTGAAGAACGGGCCGTTCCGGTTACATTTTTTACATAGCATTAATAAGTCCAGAACGGGCCGTTCCAGTTTTGGAACAGGCCGTTCTGGCCGTGGCCTGATGCCTATAAATAGAGTGTTTTGCACTCTTTAAAATTCATTTCTTCATTTTCTAATCTTTTTCCTCCTTTCTCTCTGAAGACGAAGGGGAACCTAGAGGGGGCGACCAACAAGATTCAACTCCTGCTTATCGAGGTAAGGGGGGAGTGAGAAATCTTGCTCTGGGTGTGGGAATATATGCTGGGTAGTGGGATTGGCCCCCAATCCTGTGTTTGCTGTATTTTTTTTATGGTCATGTATGAGGGATTTTTCCCAATTGTATCTGTTTTGCTCATTATTTTTCTTATACGCAATTATTTGTATGATTTAGAGTGCTCTATGGGTTCCTGCAGGAAACCCTATGAGAAATAGGCAAAATATGAATATTTTCTATTTTGATTTCTGGTTGCTCTATTGTATTCCTTGTTAAATGTAATGTGTAAGTATGTGATTAATTTTGAGAATAAATATGTTTTGATATGATTTAAAGTGCTCTATGGGTTCCTGCGGGAAACCCTATGAGAAATAGACAAAACATGAATATTTTCTATTTTGATTTCTGATTGTTCTGTTATATTCCTTGTTTGATGAGATGTAAAAATATGTATTTAATTTTATAAATAAACGAATTTTGATATAAATTAAAGTGCTTTGTGGAGGCTTTGTGAATATGATGAGATAATGTAAAATGTGATTGAGACATGAGATATGAAATGTGATAATGAAATGTGATGATGTGAAATGACCATGGGAAATGATAATGTGATATAAGAATGCATAGAGTCGTGATTGACATGCATCATTTTCATAAGTGTTTTAAGGGTACGATATGGAATACACTGCCAGAGAAGGCCCCCTAGTGTAAAAGCTTTGGGGATTAGTCCTTGGGGATAGCTCG